TGAGGGGTGTCAATTCTAGGACCCTGCCAAACATCTCGGGATGCTCAAATTTCTTAGCTAAAACAGAGAATTTGCATATCACCTATGCACATTTTTACATATACTTTGTGACTTCTAGATTACTTACAACACCTACGACAATGTAAGTACTATACAAAGGGTTACAGTGTATTATTGAAGAAAGAGTGATAATATGACAAGAAAAAGGTCTGTATGCTTTTGATACAGAAGCAACCGTCATAGGCCTAATTAAATATTATATGATCCTCCATTGGTGGATCCCACAGATGCAGGGCACCAACTGTCTGTATGGGTAGGAATCAACATCTTCCTAATAATTTGTGATTGTGCTGTGTTCCTGTCTTCTCAGGAATGACCTATTTATTTCTGCTAACCAAACATTGTCATTGCTAAAGATTCATTTCCAGCGTGAAATCTTTTTCCAACTAAAGTGAATTTTTCTGGACTTTCCTTTCCTCATCTGCAAAATGGCACGAGCCGAGGGAGCACGAGTGGGGATTCTAACCAAACAAACATTGGTTTCTTGCAGGAAGACTGAGAAGGGGAAGCAGGAGTCCCCTTGGTCCACACCCATTACCAAGATCCCTGTCATATTGGACCATGGACCTCTTCTCAGGGATGCTGAAAGTGTGTGTCCTGCTTTGGGACTCTTAGATGAAAATGCACACAGAAACCTATGGATGTGGGATATAGGAAGTGTAAGACCATGCGCAGTCTGAGACCAGAAGAGGGAGCGATGCGGTCAGCTGTGGGGTTGGGGTGCAGCCTTGACGAGTTTCCATGACATTTGGAGAACAGCAGAGATTATGAGGAAAGTTCCTGCAGGGAATGGCTTGGTGTCTTTGGGATTCCGAGCCTACTTCAGTGCAAAGTACAGGTGGGAGCTCCATAAATGGTTTGCAGATGAATCCTGTGACCCCTAAAAGACATCTACTTGTCACACAATTTCTGTAACTGATATAAAGGGAAAACTATCTAAATAAAAAAAAAAAGACCTTACTTGCTGTTACAAGATATGAATGAGTTTGAAACTGGTGTTGAAAACTAGCCAAGGCTATTCAGTGCAAAGTGTTAAAACTCCAATTTGAGGCTCAATCACCAGAGGCATTAACTATGTCAAGGTGACATGTTAGTGGGATGAAGAGGAGATCATCTGGCTGTCCCTGCTGTGGACTAGGTGGAGCAGGCAGCACAGGTGCATATCCAAAGTTTGGGGCATCTGTCTGCCTGGTAGTGTTCTTTGGATACCAAGAGGGAACCTTTGGATCTTCCACTTATTATAGGAGATCAGTCTTGTCCCAAATGAAAACATTCACTGTTTTAAATCCTACCCAAAGTTCTCACATCTCTGGAGCCTTTTGAGAGAAAGAAACCAATCCAAACAGAGCACATAAACTAATCTATAAACGTATGAATCTTTGTTTCTTCTTCTTTTCCTCTGCCTATTTATACTGCAATATTAATAAATGCAGCATTTTAATGAGCTTTGACTGAATTATCTTCAGAGAGTTGGTGCAGGGTTTTTCCTCCGAGATGCATAACTGAAGTTCTCAGTTTCTGGAGGGCAGTTTCTTCCTCATTAGCTGGGACAGCTTGGAGTAGGAAGGCTCAGGAGGCGGGGAGCCACAGCAGGAGGCCACCTGTGCTTCCACTCTACCCTGCCGTGGGGTAACCACAGGGCTTTCATTGAAAGTGTCAGGCGGGTTCCCCAGAGCAAGAGCTGATGGCACGTCACGATGGTGCCTCCAGAGGAGCAGCGCTGACACCTACTAATAGTCTGACAAACGGTTAAGTAGCTGCCGGTGCTCATGTTGAGGCATCAAGGGTGCCGTGCCTGAGCACACGTTCTCCTCACTTGCTCAGTCGGCGAAGAGGAAACGTGTTCTACGTGGGTTCATTTGGCCCCAGGTGCACACCCTGCAAAACACATTGCCAGAGTAACCCATGCTGAAATAGGCATGACCCCTTTTAGATAGATGTGGGTGGGTTTTTATATGACTTGAATTTTGACTGCCTGACATTTTAAACCTATTTTATGTTTCAGATGCTTCTCACAGTATGTCTTACAGAAGAGACAGGAGACCAGTTTCCTTCACAGGAGGGGAAAAGCCCGTCCTCCTTTCTTGAGCCCTGCTAAGTCAGCTATGGTTGCTTGGCCAGGCAGAGATTCTTAGGAGGCCTCTCATCTTCATCAAGCCAGGGGAAGCAGCCCCAGTCAGGGATCAGGAACAGGTTCATGGGGCCAGGATTCTGGGGAAGTGGAGGCCACACCAGGCTTTTTCGAGGATGTTATAGTGGCTGAGCTTCTTGTGCATATGCACTCTGTTTGGCAGTGATTTTTCAAGTCAACTTTTGCAGGGATTCTGAGACCCATTTGTTACTATTTTAATATTTTGATATTATTTAATTATGAATCAATTATTTTGATTAACTCCTTTAGGAAGAAACTAGAGATGAGCTGCATTAGGACAAGGACCTTTCCCATTGTTTGAAAATGAGAACTCTGACTTGTGAGTTTGTGTCCACCCCTTGCTCACTGTCTGGTGGTTCCTGTGATAATGGCCTTGATTTAAAAGCTTTATCCGGGCCCCTAAGTGTCAGGGCCATGAGTCAGTGGAATGCAGTCTCTTGTGCAGCACACACTCTCACCCATGTGTCTGTTCTTTGTTGTCTCCTTTACTTTAATTTTTTAAAATGTCATCCTCATGCAGATCCCCGCATATATTGGCTTCTTTGTCTATGTGTGGTACCTCGAAGCTCCTGGTTATTGTGTGGTTTAGATGTAAGCTCAGTGACCTGTATGGTGAGCCACTAGGTCAAGAGGCAGGAGTGCTCCCTGCATTAGGCCCAGACCCAGGACTCCTTGGCCATTTGTTAAAGAGACATCTGTCCTCCTGCCCCCAATTAATTTAGCACACTCTGCTTTGTAAAGTGCCAGTGCGCTGCAGAAGCAGGCAATGTGTTAATGTCCTGTGGACATTACAGAGTCGTTCATTCTTGCCCTGGCAGCCCCAATTCAAGATCCCTCTAGCAAACCTAACCAGAGGGAAGGGAATTTTTTACTCACTAACTCACTGAGTTTAACTTGGGTTATGAGATTCTTTGTTATTTTGTCTATGTATTTTAGAGAATGTAGGAAATAGGGTGGAAAAAAGAAGAGTTAGGGTAGGAGAAGTAAGGAATTGACTCAATTTTTTGAATTAAAAATTAGACCTCTGACTTACTCGATTGTATTACAATTGTAGGCTTCATAGCAACAAAACCCTAGTCCATGTAGTCTCCATACAAACTGAGTGCACTGGATCATGTGTGCTGGTGACTGTACACACAGAAAAAAACTTTTAATGCCTAAAGGACATTTTTATACTTTTCTGCACTTCACCTCACAGCTGTGTAGAAGCTTATCGGTTTTTGTAGGCCTCCAATTATTGAAGAATAAAGATCCCCATTAATAAGACAGAAAGCTTAAGAAGGGACCAGAGATGAGCTGCATTTCTTTTTGGTTTTTGTTTTAATCCACATATAACGATAGTGTCATAATCTGTGATGTTTTGATATTAAATCTTAGCATTTACCATATTTATGAAGTCACAAATTTATAATTTCTTTATAGTGAGAACATTCAAAATCCTTTCTTCTTGCCATTTTGAATTACTCAATACATTTCTTGTTAGCCGTCGTCAACCTACTGTGCAATAGAAAACCAGAACGTATTCCTCAGATGGTAACTTTGTACCTGTCGGCCAGTGTCTCCCTTCTTCCTCTCCCCTGGGCCCTCCACGGCTTCTGGTAGCTGCTACACTGCTCTCAGCTTGCGTGTGAACAGTTTAGATTCCGCCTATGAGCAGGATGGTGAGGTATTTGTCTCTCTGTGCCTGACTTCTTTAACTTCACGTTAAACTTCGTGTTTAACTTCATGTCAGGTTCATCTGTGTTGTTGAAGATGACAAGAGCCCATCTTTTCTTCCGAGCTGAATGTGGTTCCCTGACGTGTATGCCATGTTTTCTTTCTCCACTCATCCATTCCTGGACGTTTAGGTGGACTGCCTGTCCTGGCTGTGGTTAATAGTGCTACAATAACAACGGGAGTGCAGATATTTCTCCAACATCCTGATTTCATCATTCATACTTCAGATGTGCAGCTTACAGTGGGATTGCTGAATCATACAAGATTCATTGTTTACTGTTTCAAGAAAACTCTATTGGGGCCAGGGATTTAGCTCAGTGGTTCCAGTGCCTGCCTCACAAGCATAAGGACCCGAGTTTGATCCCCAGTACCGAAACAAAGGAAACTCTGTTGTTTTCTATAATGATTGTACAGCACAAGTCTATACTCGCACTAACACTGAATGCAAGTTCCCCTTTCTCCTCATCCGTCCCTCCATTTATTACCTCTTGATTTCCGGAAAGCAACCATCCTAACAGGTGTGAGATGATGGTGCTCAGTGACTTTTGCTTGCATTTCCCTGATATTTCCCTGTGAATATTTTTTCACATCCTTACTGACTGTTTGTATGTATCTTCTTTTGAAAAATGTTTTTTCAGGTCTTTTATTCATTTCAAAAATTAGGTGATGATCATGATGATGCTAAAAACTCTTGTTATTGTTATTGTTATCATTATTCTTATTTTACCCTCGAGTACATTTTAAAAATGAAGAAGTGAACACTCACAGGCTGAACTAGTAATCCCTCCTGTGATACCTGTGTGATTATTGGCTTCCATTTATATCTGGTCAAGGTAGGGGGCTGCATACTAGCCCCAGTCCATTAAGATAGTAAAGGTCCAATATCTGTAGGTCCCAGCTACCTCCTGATTCCCACATAGAATCTCCATAGACCTTGCTGCAAAAGGAGTCTCAGTTTCATCTTTCAGCAAACACACGTTTATTGGTGTAAAAGTGCGTGGCTTTTGTTCACTTTGCTTTTCAACCTTTTGAGAGTCATTCGTCTTTACCAATATTTGTATTCTGTTTCCAGGGAAGAGTGATCCTTTTTGTTTGTTGGAGTTAGGCAATGACCGACTTCAGACACACACCATTTACAAAAACCTCAACCCTGAATGGAACAAAGTTTTTACCTTGTAAGTGTTTTGGCTTCTGGATTATAGAGGGAGCAGCTTTAACTTAGAGACCAATTATCTCTGATAACTTTGGGGCAGGCTGGGGCCCTTGAGTGGAACTTTCTGTCCATTTTTATGTGCAAAGAGTGAATTTTATTGTTTTTCCCTTCTGAAAGCCTTTTATCCTTTCATAGAGTATGATGTTAATAATAGAAGAGATTTTTTGCAACTGCAAGGGAGAGTTATAGGAGAGATTGGTAAAGGAGCTCTTTCAGTGACTAACTCTGTGGGCAGGTGAAAACATCCACGTATCTAGGACAATTCATTCCGAGTTTAAGGAAAGTTACAAATGGAGCCCTGCCTTAAATACAAGGAGCGTATGTATTAGAACATTAGTCTGATGCCTGGAGGCTTGTATTCTGCTGGCCTTTTGAGAAGAACAGCTTATCTGTGAATTCTTGAAGACTCCTGAAGGTTCCTTGTGCTTCAGTTTCTCTGAGTGGCCCACTCCATACCTAAATGCCAAGTTTGGGCATTTACATTCCCTGGTTTGCTTTATATTTAGCACCTGAAAATCAAGGGGAGGCCCTTGTTGAATTTGGGTGAAGTGCTAGTATGTCACGCCCCAGAAGCTGAATAATTGCTTGGTCTGTGCTTAAAAGTGAAAAGCCAAATATGTTTCTGGTGGAGTGGATGGCAGTAGTAGGAGGTTCTCAAGGAACCGTGCAAAACAGAGTAACTACACTAAACCAATCTGCCAATTTTGAGATGTAGAAGTCTCTTCATTTCTGAACAAGTTGGTGATGGCTATCTATTTTTCAGTGTTGCTGGTATATGGCTTCCGGTCAATATTAAAAAAATTCTAAATATGCATGGGATTTTTTTTTTTTTTGCTGTACCAGGGATCAAACTCAGGACTTGCACTTGCCATCCAGGTGCATCCCCAGGCTTAGAGGCTTTTTGTGTATTTCAGCAAATATTACTTTTTCCACCTTTCTTCACAAGAGAATTCTTTGTTAATTTAAATAAAATGTTATTTTTACTTTTATGATTTAGTAGCTACTTTGAAATTACTTTTCTCTCATCCTCCTCATTCTTTTCCCTCTTTTTCCTCTTTTAACCTGTTTCTTTCATGGTCCCACCCTTGAGTACCTGTATGTAACATAGTGAAAAAGTTGACTTTTTTTTTTTTAAAATGTGGATGTCTGAATCTGCTCTGATGGAAGGTTTGGGAATACAGTCAATTTGATTTAATTTTTGGAATTTAATTAAATGGTAGTTTTATACTCTGAGGACACAGACTTAATTAGTGAAACAGTGTTTTCAGATCTGCACGGAACAGACTTCACATGTGCGTTTTTTATGTATAATTCCTGATATTTCTTGTTTCAGTCCCATTAAAGACATCCATGACATTTTGGAAGTGACAGTGTTTGACGAAGATGGAGATAAACCACCCGATTTTCTTGGAAAAGTCGCCATTCCCTTGCTGTCTGTAAGTTCCTTTTGTTAGTCAACAACTCGTGAATCATTTTACAATTGAAGACTTTCTATGGTCTATCGTTACTTTCTGTTAGACTGGGAGGGAAAAAAAAATTCCTAGCTGTAGCTGAAAACTACTGTTTTACTCCTTATCCTTATATTTCACATATTAAGAAACATGTTTTTATGTCAATCCAGTATTGATTTAATCAACCAAAATGTTTTGACCAGTTTTTCAATTCACAATCAGGCTTCCTTTTCAGCTTAAGTTGGAGACTTCAATTTGATTTCAAGGAATGTAGAAGTGTAATTGATTTTTGCTTTTATTAATGAAAAACACACATGCATTTCTTTATGTCCTCTTTCTGTACATTTCTTCAAAGATCAGTTGTTGGCAATTGCACTTTTGCTCTCCATTCTACTAAAGGCCATATTTCCAAAAGTTTCATGCCTTTTGAATAGTAATGTTTGTTTTCAGTCCCAGAAAGGATTTTTGGAAGACAGCAAGAGGCCTGTCTTGGAGAAAGAAAAGTGTGTTATAGTGTAGTTAAAAGATAATGCAGGGTCAGCTAGGGAAAAAAAGAATGAAAAAATAGTTTGTGCCGTGTGAAAGAAAAATCATCAAAGCACGTAAAGAAGAGCAAAGGGTGAAAGCTGGAGAGCGATTCCCCTGTTAATGTGCTCTAGAAGAAAGAATTTGGTTTTTCATCCAGCCATAAATACAGTGTGCCCTAGAATCGTTATGATTTCATCAGCTAGTGAGACTTTATTTCTTCCTAAAGATGTATTTTTGCAAATCTCTTTGTATATTTTTGTGGATGGAGCACTCTGTAATTTCACCACACGATGAGTCTAACTTACAAAGTGTTTACAGAGCGGGGAGTGCTGCACCTCTTAATATCTCTTCATCTGTTTTTGATCGCTTGGTTAATTTCTCCCCGAGTTCTCATATCCCTGATGCTACTCCAAGTGCCTGCGTGGAGCATCTGCTCCCTGATACAGCCGGCTCCTGCCAAATGCTCCGAGCCATCGGTGGCAGGCTGCGGGGCTGCAGAGAGGAGATGGTAATTCGGGATTTCCCCCCTTTTTTATTACAACGTTGTCAGTTATTCCTGGAAGAATATGTGTAACAGGAATATGAGCCACACTTTCAAGTTGTCTAAAGGGACCCCAGAAAACCTTTCCTTTACAATTCAATTTAGCTTTCCTCCCTCCTCTCCTCTGTCTGTCTTGCTCTGTGTCTCTATCTCTGTCTCTCTGTCTCTTTTACATTTATAAATAAATCTTAGTAGCATATTTTGTTTCTTGCTGGAACACACTTGGGATTTTTTGAAAACCCCTCTCTGTTTTTGCTTATAAAAGTTTTGCCTGTTTGGCACTTTTATAATACCAACAATTGACATAGTACAGTACTTGCTTTTTCTCTCCTTCTCTCTGCTTGGCAGAGCTAACAAAATCACCACCAGCTAAGTTAGGGCACCTCGTCTTTAGCACTGTTACCATTCTGGAGCCAGGACATTCTTTGTTACATGGTCCTTTCCTGCGCATTTCAGGATGTCTAAAAGCCCCCTTGTCTTCTCTGTACCAGAAGACAGCAGCACCTGCCACCCCTGCTACTGTGACAATTTAAGATGTCCACAGACACTGCCAAAAGTCCTTAACAGAGGGGAAATCACTCCTCCTGGCAAACTGTTGACTCAAATGAATACATTTTTCAAAATATCCTTCCAAATGCAAGGCGGAATGTTTTGGGAAAGACGTAATTTCAACATGCACAGCTTTCCACCCCGGTCAGTTTTCATGTCAGTGGGGTAAGGCTGCTCCAAAGTCTGGAAATCATTCATTTAACTCACCGACTTTCAATCCAGTGCCACTGTGTGCCAAGCACTAGTTTAAGTAACAATATTCTAACCCCAGGGACACTCCCTCCTCATTGGAATTTATATTGTGGTTTCGAGACGCATGGAAGATGACACATAAAACAAAGCAGTATGTTAGATGGTGACCGTGTAGGTTGGGCAGAGGCCCTGAGAATACAATATAGAAGAGGACAATTTTCCATGGCTGGCCAGTGAAGGCCTCCCAGCAAGCGGACAGCTGAGTGTCACTCACACAGGAGAGAGAGTCAGCGATGTGGCGATCTGGGGAAACGTCGAGGCAGGAAATCTTCAAGTTCAGAAGCTCTCAGACTGTCAAATTCCCAAAAGGTCTGGGCAGCCAGTGTTGATGGAATGGAGTGAGCAGGTGAAGAAGGACAGACGTGGATTGGAATGGGGCAAGCAGGAGAGAATCGTGAAAGACTTAGAAAGGTGAAGTTTGAAGAATTTTGGCTTTATCTTTGTGCAGAAGCACTGGGTTTTGTTTTACATTGCTTTTCCCTAACAAAAATGGGCTATGGTACATCAAGGAATACATCCATTGTGAAAGACCTCTGCCGTGGAAAGTACATGGCCTGTGTTCTTGAGGATTTCTGGTGCCCTGGAAAAGTGCACTGAATAGGATGCTTCGGCTGCTGGTGTTCACTGTGTGGATTTCTTGACTCAGGAGTTGAGAAACAAATTGAACCGCATATCGGATCTACATGCATTCTGCTTAGCATTTGAGGTCCCCGTGCAACAAGCCTCTCCAGCCTTAATGACCTGCACGTCATGCTTAGATATAAATATTATCTTATTGTTTTAAATTTGTCTGAGCACATGTTTGCGGAATGTAGCGGTCACATCCATCCTGGGAGGTCGGTAGATATGCGTGACACATCTTAATTATTTTTACTAAGCCTTCCCCTCCCCTCTTTTCTGCTTTTTAATCTCTTGGTATAAATATGACTTTAAGATGGTTATAACCTTCATTATAATTGGCAAGCTGCCAGCCCATTGATTATTTCATTAATTGTCACGGACTTCTAAGTTGTGGTTTAGAGTAGATGTTTTAAAATCTACTTATTTAGATCAAGAGGCAGAGCCGCTGAATGCTCAAGCACGGTGCCGTGTACCCAATATGTTGTCATCGATTCCCTAGTAATTTAATGAGGCTTTATTATGTTGATTTACAAAATAGGAAACTGAGGCACAGAATAGCTCCTGTTGCTGGTAAGTAACAGAAGCAGGATTTTAATTTGGGCCGTCTTTTATCAGAGGCCGAGCACCTAAGAGTTTGCTAGGTTGCCACAGTGAGTTCCATTAAGTGAATATCCTGCTGGAAACAAGGATAAGATTCGGTTCTGAGTTCCTGCTGGTGTGCAGGAGAAACACAAACTGAAGAGTTACAAACTTTGGTGGGAATCACCCAAGGTCTAAAACAGCAAGTGCCACACACAGGAGAGGACAAACGCAATGAGAAAGTGGGTTGGGTTTAAGATTTTAAGAAGCAAGGAGCTGGAACTGGGTCAGAAAGGAGGAGGATGTCTGTCTGCCACACTCAGGAGTGAACTGGATAGGGTCCGTGCAAGCAGAGAGAAAAGTGTGAGCCGAAAAGCAGGGGTGCAGGGGGAAAAACCACGTTCTGGAGTAAGGAGTATTTGGGTGCCTGGAGCTCAGGTTGAGCGTGGAGGTGGAGGAGGAGGACAGAAGGCAGCTGTGGGAGATTTTCAGCAGGTTGGCGTTTATTGTATAATAGGGAGTCACTTCAGGGTCTAGACCCGGGGATGGGGATATCAGAATATAGTGGGCCCTTGACTTATGAACTCGACTCGTTTCCCAGGGCTGGTTGTAACTAATTCAGTATACCGAGATCTGGATGTTTACCTGGGTACAGACTGTAGATAACAAGGGACAAATGAATCTGCCACTAACCTAATTAACTCAGTTTGTTCATGTGCCAGGCTGGTTGTAATTTGAGGGGCCACTGCAGTTGACCAGGAAGAAACTTTGACTACGGTGTGAAGCAAATCCCCTAAGAATTGGTCAAAATAGAATTAAGCATCAGACCCCGCTTAGAGCCACCCTGTGTGTTCCTTCTGAGAAGGACTTAATTTCTCGGCTGCTGCTGTTTTTAATATAAAAAACAATCATAAGCATTATTACTTTTTTCACAGGACACAGAATGGTATACCATAGCACACAATTTTATATTAAAAATATTTGCAAGTTAACAACAATTGAATGAGAATAGTTTTGTAAGAATGCATTTTCTTTAAGTCATAAATTTGATTTAGATTTTTGGAGACAGTGCAAATTACATTTTAAATGGTCTAAGCACAAAGTATAGAATGTACTTTTAATCTTACTCAGAATGTTAATATTTTAAGTGCATTTAAACCTGTTAAATAAAAAGGCTGTTCTAAATTCACTATATCCTTTTAATCAGGGTTAAAGTGCTAGCGGAATGTTGGCTCATTTAAAATCCACATACTAAAATAACTATATTGATGAGTAGTGGTGAACGGTTCGAGGCATATATGCATCTTTAGATGTACAGCGGGATTAAAAGAATGCAGGCCAGTGAGCTATCTTTCTATCAATTCTCTCTTCAGTTTTCAAAATAGTTGTTTTTAATGATCCTGCAGATATGCAAAGCTCTTTAATCAAATGCCCGTGATTAAGCACTATAGAAAATTGAGATTGAAATGCATTGCAATCTGATGCCTTCTAATATTTGCTCATTTTCATATTGCTCCTCTAATTTTTTAATCAGTAGCATAGTAAATATGCACTGAGAAGCAGTAAGTACATTTCTGAGTTTTAAAATACTTTGGGTGTAGACACTGTCTCCTAGTAATTAGCCAATTCAAAGATATACTTAACATGTCTATCCTCAATTAAGTGATTGTAACTCTGAAAATTAGACTGGATATTTCTCCCGAAGGTCAGTCTCTTTTATTCAGTCATATCGTTGCTTTCTGAATACTCTAATGGATCAATTTAAGAAAACTAAAACTTGATTGAGTGACTCACTCTGCAAAGTAGAGAGAGTGTTTTTACCATTAGTTCCTCATTGCCAAGAAAAATGTCATTTGAGCTGGATGAGGACCTGTATTTTGAGACACACTTGGGTTCTTTTGTGAAAGCCAGTCCA